CCCATCCCAGAAGCTTCATCTTCTAGCATAAAGTCAAATAAGCCTCTCTGTTGAAATGGTCCTGCCCAAGAAACTTGTGCAAGCAGGAAAAAGATGATAGTTGCCTTCATGATACAGCTCATATATTTTCACAGCCTGGGAATCTAGGAAACAAATGAAAAGTTTAGGAAGAGTAGTGCTGTTTAGTCAAAATGTTATTTCTTACATCATTACCCCCTAGTAAGCAAGCACAGAGCAAGGTAGAATAGTAGTACTGGTTTTGAGAAATAGAGAGCATTAACGATGCATTTGAAAGGTGACAAGGTAACTATAGTCTCACTTGACAGCTATTTACTTAGGAAGAGAAATTTAAATATTATTTGCACCTGTTTGAATTTGGGGCTTACATGAAGAAGATATAGTTTATGATCAAATCATATGCACATTATTTCGATGACAAGAAATTACTTTGAATTTTTTAATGCTCACTCAACATAAGCCTTTGCACAGGCAAAGTTACATCTACACAAAAGCATCTCCAATTCCTGTTTCAAAAGCATCTCTAGAAGCAAAGCTCATTTCTCCATCTTAGTATCTGCCTTGGCCTAGGCCTTCCTGTCGTTCCCTGAACTATTACAAAAGCCTTCTCAATTCTACCTGGAATGCTTCCTTCCTTCCAAGTCACCTTCCATTCTACTGCCTGAGTGATCTTCTAAAAGATTTTCTTTCATTCTGTTAATTTCTTTTGAAAACATTTTGCTGAATTTCCATGGCTCACCAACAATGTCCACATTCTCTGTGCTGTATGTAAGTCCACTCATAATGTGATGTCAACTAATAGCTCTAAACACATTTCTCTCCATTTCTCATCTATTACCAGATCACTCCTCTACCCTGACACTCAAAGCCACTTGCCATTTTAGAACACCTACCTTGTAAGGATAATGATAAGATTAGATGAGATAACAGATTTTCCTTCTGGTTTCCCTGGCTCATCCAGCCAGCATGCTGCTTTCTGCCTCTTCTGTGCTCTCAAAGCACTTTGCTCTTACCTCTTTTAAAGAACTTATCACATTATATTGTAATTTGTTCTGCATGCGTGGTCTGTCCTCCGCCCCCTCCATTAGACCTTGTATTCCTTCAGGGTGTGTCTTATTATTCCTTGTTCTGTACTCAGCCCTTTCACAATATTTTACACACAAATGACTCAATTGACCATCAGTTTATTAACAGTGAAATTTATTCCATATGTTTCAAGCCACCAGTTTCACTTTGAAAATACAATATTATTTCTCTTTTGATTCTAAATTTCTAATATAAGAAGATTATCAAATTGAAAACCTCAATTTGCTATAAGCAAATCTCAAATTTAAAAATAAATCTATTGGCAACCATTCCACAGTTGTTCTTTTCAGTGAGTCAATAAATTCATATGGAAAATTCTAATTATAATGTATAATTATAATGTATATGTTATCTGCTCTCCACTAATATGGATTTATAAAACACAAAATAGATCAAGAGTAAGGTTTGAGAAATTCATTCATTCAACAAGCGCTATGTTGTTAAATTGGCTGATGTGAACTAAATGACTATGAATAATAAAGCTGAATAATAAAAAGTACTGTCGCTGATAGAGAACAGGAAGTCTATTTTTGAGAAAAAATATTTAATAATCCCATTGAGAGTCTTAGAAGAAATATTTAATAATCCCATTGAGAGTCTTTTAATGTTCCCAAGACAAATTGCATCATCTCTACTTTGAATTGAACAATTATGGAGAAGTATCTGTATTAAAGCTGGAAATTCATAATTAGAATTAAATAATTATTTTGAGTCATATTATCTAATGGTAGCAAATCAAAAAAGCAAAAAAGAAAAGAAAGTCTTTCATGGATAAACTGAGTGTATCTTATAAAAGTTCGTGTCACTACAGAAAAAGCAAATGTTTTCAATTATACCTTTGTTCTTACTTTATACTTAGTAGTGAAGTATGTTTAAGGCACTATATGCAATATAGACTGGCTTGCACTTAAAAGTAATCATAAAAATTATTATTCACGTGGTTCTTCTAAGTTCAGTGCTAAGTTTTCTCTAGGAGCCCATTTCTCCACAGTTACTTTTTGTTTAAGAGGAGACTGTTGTTTTGGCAGGGTATTTGCTTGGGGTGATCTAGAGGAAAGTTTTCTATCTGTTTCACATTACAATGCAATGTTTATGGTCTACCACAAGTTTGCTAGCCTTGCATATTTAATGCCTTACAGTTTTAGAAAAAAGATGAAGCAAAGTAATTGCAGATTTAATAAATAGCAACAAAAGTTAATGCAGATGCTGCTCTATAATCCTTTCTGCAGAGTACAAAATGCCTGGTTGTTTCACTACCAACCCAAATAAGGACGTGCTCAGAGGAACAGTATCATCATTTTTACTTGTTTACTCTTGGTAAATGGTGCAAACTCTCTGCACAATGTTTTTGAAAGAAGCTGTATACACTTAGTCAGCTTGCAATTTTAATTACTTATTTTTATATTACATTAGCTTGTATCTGTGTGTGTGTGTGTGTGCATACATTTTTACTCTGAATGTCCTAAAGAAAAATACGCTTTTGTGAATACTTGCATGAAATAACTTCTTTTACATTTGTGTCATGTTACTTGAAGACCCAGCATCTTAAAGCAATCAGGGTGAGCTGTTGTTATTTAGGATTTCTTCAGTCAACTCCTTCCCTCTTTGGAAAATCGCAAAAAAAGAAAGAGAAAACAGAAATTCCCTCTACAAAACAAGGAGACTGTTACTGAGATGATATTCTTTTTACATTTCATTGAAATTGTTTTAAGTATCCTCAAAATGTATGTAATGTTAGATTCCAGTAATGTTAGTTGCCATGGTTTATCAATGTTTTATCAAAAGCATGATCTTCCAGCTCCCAAAATTGTTTCTTCCCATTTAATTAACTATATCATTCAGATTAACGTTTGTGTAGTGTCATTTATACCTTTGCTATGACTTTCAAAGCTAAAATTTAATCCTCAAGGGATAAGCAAAACTATAAATGCAAAGTCAAATTAAAATCCTCCAGCACTAGGGGAATTCAAAACTCCAGTAATGATATAAATAATAAAAGCAGCAGTTATCCATAAGTAAGGGCTACTATAAAAAGCATTTGGCTTCTTTTCCTGGTAAAAGAAGCAAGAGGAAGAAAAAGCCACAGGCATTTACATGACTGGGAGCCCACTTAGACAGCGGTCATCAGGTTACCCTGTTTTAAAGTTAGAACAAAAATTAACCCACAACCTCATTTCATAGTGAATGTACCTTATAATAAAATTTCACTTGTATTAAAAAACTGATAAGGAAACATCTTCATATTCAAGGAATTATGTAACTGTTGAAATATCTTTTAACTTTAATATAATACATATTTTCAATATTTACTTTCACCTCTCTGGTAATAATGTTTATTTATTGCTGTGGTTATGGAAATATACATTAGATCTCTAGAGCTGATCAGTAGAGTGCACGTCTTTGAAGTTTTAAAGGTTAATAAAGTATACAAGAATTCAGGATGGAAATAAATCCTTAAACATACAATCTAACTATGAATACTGTATTAGTTTAGAATACTTTTCTGTTAACACTTCATAAAGAGCTAAACATTTCATTAGTACAAATACAAAAACATCAATATAGAGAATCATGGTGTTAGGTTACAGTTTTTTTAATAAGCATCTTTGCAAGAACAGAAGAGAAAGACCCAAAGCAATGCATTCAATCAATTTACCAAATAGTTTACTTCTGTTTCTAAGGAATATTTGTTTAAAATTTTGCATAAAGATTATCAAAAGTTTAGCAGGATTTTGTTCTTTTCTTTTTCTCACCAAATATTTCCTTTTGCTCTCCACTTCAACGAGGTCTCATTAGTCTGTAGTACAGTTCATGACAATTATTGAAAACCATACCTTTTAATCCGGGTATTTGCCACAGGACCCCTCAAAGCTGAGATGTAATTACACTAAATATTCAGCCCAAGCAAAAGAATTTGCAGGTGTGGAAAAAGGAGGGGTTGATTCTGCTCTGTAACTGTCACTAGGTTGAAAACCTGCTGCTTCTACTCCATAGCACAGTTAAAAAATAAGGTTTCCCTCAATGAACACAATCCAGCTGACACCCACATTAGATCATATGGTAATGATATGTCTCTTGTATTGTAGCCAGAAACTTTATCGGCCCTTTTTCCTCCGCATTTGTTTTATTCCTTTTGCATCTGCTTAAGATTCTAAGATGCTTTTGCAGTGTAGTGCCGCAACTTGTCTTGAAATTTGTTCTATTCATGGTTCTTTTCCTAAAATATTTTAACTAAAGAGATTGTTTCCCCACCCCCAACACCATTCCACTATCTACATTTTCTAGTTTTATTATAATAAACTTAATTCTACCTCTGAAGTGATGATTTTCCTTGCTGTCAGGGTGGGAAGTCTGGAAAATGGAACAAAATTAACCTTGTTGTTTCAAAAGTGTTCTGTAAAAATAAATGAGTAGCCTTATGTGAACTTCCTCATTCAGATTCTTACTTGTCTCAGAATGTTTTTGCAAGTTCAAGTACTATGCTATAGAGGTTTCTATGGATTTCCAATGCACTTCCACAGTTTCCTGGGGAAAAGCCAGGGTTTTATATGAAAAGTATGTTATTTATTATTTTCGTTATTCATAGTGTAAAATCTTTCTTTTCATCTCTTGTTGACGTTGTTTTTAAAATAAAACACATAAATAGTAGAAGCTGGTAAATGTAAATTAGTACACATATGAAAAATTTAGTTCTCACAGATTATACTTTTACATAACCCAGAACTTTGAGAAAGCAATATATTCTTTGCCTCTTTCCAAATTTCAGTAAGTGGGGGGAAAAAGTGCAAATTCAAGGAAAGATATTTATTTAGCCACTGTGAGGATTTTTTTAGGTTTTATAATTCCTTTGCTGGGTGCTGTTAGCTGTTTCTATGCTAAGTGTCTATGTTTTGACTTGTATCTTTATGCCCTAGGCTCCAGGCTGTTACCAGTTGGAAACCTGCAATCAACGTCTGTGAAATATGAGCCAACACCCCTCCTATCCTCCACCTTCCTTCCCTCCTCTAGTCATCTAAGTATGTACTTCTACAGTAAATAGCTTTTGCCTTGATGAAACTTGAAGGAATTAATTGGGATATCCAAAGGGGGGTGGCATATTTCCCAAGCCCAGCTTCAAGCTTTACTGCCTTATCCCCTTTATTCCCTCTCCTTCATATTTCATAACCACACACTCAGTTATTCTCATAGTTTTAAAAAAAGCCAGCACCCATTTTTGTGGACATTCATGAGGAAGCCATAATCCTCTCACCTGGGTTTAATTAGTTTCCACCCCAGAGCTTTCTTTGCACGATATTTATCTTTTTCATGACATGCAATTGTTTCTTTCTCATATTAGACTCATTTACGTGCATGTCTTACTCCAAGGTAAAAAGTCACATTCAAATTTCTAGAGTTCCTGCACTCAACTGAATCATAATATATCCTAAATTATCAAGAAATGCTCAATGAATTGTTAAGGACAGTCAAATATTGGATATGAACAATAACGTGAACATTGTCTTAATTTCCTTATCAAAACCCAAACCTGCTAAAGTATACGATGATGAATTATAGAAATATGTGATATCTAATTTTAAAAGTCGGAAAGAGAAAAGAGAGGTAAAGGGTTATTAAAGAAAAAGTAGAAGAAAGACAAGATGAGAAGAGGAAAGAGACAACTTACCTTGCTATATAGATTATTTGAATCTTATAAAAGCACTTTGGTTAATGTTCATATCTTGGCTTGTTTGTATGGTGTTTAGTTCTATGAATTTAGGCAACTTGCTTAACCTTTCTGAACCTCAGTTTTCATATCTTTAAGATGGGAAGAAATTATTACTGAATTCATTAGTACTGGGACAAAGATGAAAGGAGTAATACACTTGAAGCATTTAACTCATAGCATGGCCCTTAAAGATAGTGTTCAAAATGTAAATTTTCTGATGTATTTCACAATAATCCTTGAGTTAGGTAAGGGAAATAATATTTATTGCTTCTGTTTTATAGATGTGAAAATTTAAACCCAATGACCTATTTAAGTTCAGAGAGCTGGTGAGAGCCAAAGCAGAAACTAATACCCAGGTTTTCTAACATTTAATGCAGTTTGCATACTATATGGCATCTTAAGAAAGACTAAACTCTTAATATATACAAAATTAACTATCAAAACTGTTGGGTACTTTGTCTTTGCAGATTATTTTCAAAACTGTAACCAAATCATAAAGATTTTTTTTTTGTATTTATCCAGGAAAAATAAATATTTCCATTTATTATGAAGTTGTTTTGTTTTTTAGTTTGGGAACCACATCTTTCAAAATCCCAAATATTTTACTGAATATCAGCTAACTTAAAATCTGTGTATCTTGAATCAGATATTGAGTTATGCATACATCCTGACATAGGAGTAGCTAAGTTGCACCAAAGTCACATGCACTTAAGTCACAAAGAGGTCTTGGTACCATTCTGAGAATCCGGGTCTCTTACACACTGACAGAGTGGAACAATTTTGAGGACAGAATCTGTGCTTGTGCTGGGATGGCTTGCGCTCATCCTGGCTTTGGAATCTTTGAGGGTTAGATTCCCTGAAACTTTGGCTGCCATTTAGTTATGTGAAACATTCCAATTCAGAGCATGTACCATACCTGCTGCTAAAACCACTTATGTGGTTCTTTCTATGGAGAGCACACTAGCTAACAGGGCAGCTGTATTCTGCATGTTGCCAAAGTTCATTTCAAGGCTAGTCATTCCTTCTGATCTGCCTCACACACAAGCAACTTAAAAATTGTACCTGTGCATTAAGGATGTGAAGAATGCCAGATCTTAGAAAAGCCTCCCGATAGTCTTTGATTTCCTAAGAGGTCTGGAAACAAGTGATTATCTTCACAGACCTGACGTGACTTGTTTATTCTTAGACTGACTCTTCAAAGTTGTCAGGGATTGGAGTGAATTCTCTGGCTGTATATTTACCATCCTAGCTGGATTTCTTCCTCAGCCAAGAAAGAAGCCTGTGGTGGAATTTAGGGAAGCTTTGAATGCTGGATGGCTTGAAATCAAATTTAGTGTAGGAAAGTTTTACCTTGGCTCTCTTCCCCTTTCCACACACAGAGTCATCATCACTGTGTTCAGTGCCTCTTACCTCCCCCTCTTCCACAGCCTCTGAGGTATGAAATGTGGATAGCTATAATGTTATCTCCTTCATTGACCTGTGTGAAGGTCTAAGAAAAGTTAATACGTGCATTTTTGAGCTGCTTCTCATGTATCTCCAGTGACACATAAACTGCTATTGCTTTTGCGAGTTGTGCTGTTAAAAATGTTGTCTAGGACACACTAATGCAAAAAGCAGACTACATCCCTACTACAGTCTAATAACTTTTTCTGCCTTACATCATTAATCTATAGCAGAGTTGGCAGAACTGTGACTTTGAACGTAGATAAGCCAGGGGTTCAGCCTCCACTTTTTATTGTTAAATAATAGGCTAGTTCTTTTTATGCCTCATACTTCATTGGACTCCAAGTCCTGTTGAAACCCATTTGTGAAATGGAGTTTAAGACTCTGTACTCTGACCAATGACATAGAAATGGAAACAAAGAATGGGACTAGGATTTGTAATGAATCAGTATAGGGAAAAGGCAGAGATATGAACCTCTCTTTCTCTGCAAACTATAATTACATTTCCTAATTCCATGACATTTTTCATGAGTGCTCAAGAATATCCTTTTCATCAGTTGAGATCAAAAGAGTTATTATTTCCTTAGTATTGATCCTCAGTTTGTACATTTACAATAGACCAAAATTAATTATTGACTTCTAGTCATGTATGTACGGCACATGTGTCTTTATTATATACAAAAAAATTCCTGCTACCTATTCATCAATCACTTAGAAGATATTGACTGAAGAACCATTATAGGAAAAAGTATTGATATTAAGCCTTGTGGCTGGCAGGAAGGACATAAAGTGTACTATGAAGGGCCTGGCTTCAGAGATTTACATCACATGAGTAGGGAATAAACTACATATATATATAGGATAGCGTTTAGAATTATGGTACCAGGAAATTCACAATGCACAATTTCTAGCCAAAGAATGATTTAATTAACAATAATTGCCTTAGCAAGGCAGAGGAGAAATGAGGAAGAGATCACTTTACAGAGACTGGTTAGTGTTTATGGAGGACAATGCACAATTTGAATTGAATCCTGAAGGATAAAAGGAATGTGCATGGAATGAAAGGGAAGAAATGGCATTTTAGGCTCACAAAAACTGCACCAACTAAACCTTGGGAATGGACAAGCAAAATATAAATAAATCAGTGTTGCTTAAGTAAATGCTTTCTTTTGTGTGTCCCTTTATCATCTTTGAATATTCAACAATTGTCATAGTATCTAACATACGGAAGTTGCACAAAACAATGAATGTTCAGTGTTCATGGAAATAACTAAAAAGAGATAGGGAAATAAAAGTGGGTTAAGTCTAACTATGGAAGGACTTGAAAATCCCCTGGAGGGCACTCACCTATTTCTTCACCCAATGTGCATTTGGTGACTAATGTACACCAGATATTTGCTAACACTGGATGTCATCAAAGGTGCTCGAATGAGGTAATAACATGAAAAATGCTTGATTTTAGCAAACAAAATCTAGCAAGTGTATTTAGTGGTTGTAAAACTATTGTAAAGGAAACTATTTGTGAGGCTATTGCTTTATTTTCAGTGTATTAAAAGCAGGCTTCTACAGACACATGTATGACAAAAGGCTTCAAAAATATGTCAAAGATACAGAAGAAAATGTGCTATTTCTTAATGTCTCAGTAACAAGAAAATAGGCATAGCAGAGATTGGACCACTGCTTGGGACACTGATGTGTGAAGATAAAAGTTTGAAGTGCCTATTTCATGCCAGGCTTTGTGGTACATTCTTTAAATGCTTTATCTCAAGTAAGGCTCATAATATACCTACTGGTGATGTGTGCACAGAATCAATTTTCATAATCGATTATTTGCAAACACAGAGTTTATGAGTGAGGAAACCATGTTGTCTAGATAGAC